ACCCCTCCCTATTGTCTTTGCCCTTGTTAACTTCTTTTGTACTCCTATAGTGCCTTTTAGTATGGTTGGGGGAGCAAGTAGAAATAAATGGTCAACTGAGCATTTTAAACTGAAAGTCAAGCTACTTACTTCTTCTTTTCCCTTTACTATAACATCCTGGGTGAGGGTCAACTCTCTGGTTTTCAGGAATCTTGATCCTCCTGATGCTTTACCCCCTATGTTTCAGCCGTGGACTAAGGGCACATAGGAGTTATGAGGTAAGCATATATAGTGGATGTGGTGCCATTTGGAGAGAACCAGAGCTATGAACTAGAGAACTAGAGCTGCATTTTGGTGGAGAGTAATGGGAAAGGTTGAAGAAAGAGTAGCTTGCCAGAAGCCGGTCCATCCTTGCTGCTTGCCACAGTCACTACAGGGAAGAAACATCTGCACAGTATATGTTTAAAAGGACCTGGTGTATATGGCATACTGTTCTTAATATGTTTGCTCCCCTTCTTGGTGCTATGTGCTTTTACCAAGGTCACCTCTCCAAGAAAGGTTGTTTCCCCAGGTAGGGATTTTTCCCTGAAGTTAGGGACAGAATAAAACCCCTTAACTAAGTGCTAGGTGGGTAGTTAATCACTTTAACTACGAACAATCACACTTAAGCTACATAATCTTTACTCCCTGGAATGGAGATAAGAAACGCCTTAATCTTTGGAATAGAGATTGATAGGATTGAATCAACTGGTATAAATACAGATGTAACAAGACAACAGGAGACAGAACTTAGAAGACAGAACCTACACAGAACTTAGAGACAGAAGAACTTCGCTGGAGAGAACATGGCAAAAGATCCTGGACAGAACCTGGCTACAGAACTTGGTTGGAGAACCTAGACAGAACCTGGCTGAAGAACCTGGCTACAGAACCTGGCGACTGAACCTGGCTGGAGAACCTGAACCGAACCTGGCTGGAGAGCCTAGCAAGAGAAGCCGGACAGAACTTCACTGGAGATCCAGACCAGAACTTGGCTGGAGATCCTGGCTAGAGTACCCAACTATGCTGATCAACTGAATGCTGCCTCTGAGTCTTTCCTTCTTCGCCGACTCCATCCACACCTTTGGGGACCCCTGGACCTGCTGGGGTTGGACCCCAGCAGGAAACATCACAGAGCTCGTACCAGGCTCCTGAACTGTTCAAGAACTTCTTTCAACACCTATAAAGGAGGTTGCTTTACTATAAATAGGGACTAAGAGTGAAGCAACTAAATTTATGTCAAGCTGGGATCCCTGAGTGTCTGAACCAAAAAGGGAACTTTGCTCAAGAGCAGATGAGGAAAATGTTCATGCCCAATAGTAAAGACAAGGCAACATCTGTGAGTTTATCATAGCAGATCTTGTCCATTGCCACTGTTCAAGGTCTTTAACAATAATGACTAGAAACTTGTAGATCATATTCGTTCATAATCATTTTGACAGAAATCTCAATTAGATCTAAAGTTCTTACTATCTATCACAAAGAATGTAGGTTCATTTGAATTCTACATGATAGTTCCTTCTGTGCTGGCAAACACTTTCAAAAACACAAACATTTCTCTTCCTTTGATTTAACCCTGTGAGTGCCAACCAATATCCTAGGAACTATGCTAAAATTGCCAAGGCATTTTTGCTGATTTTACAGCAGTTTAGGAAAAAAAATTATGAATCCCCAGTAAATGAAGTTACATATTCAATATCTTCCACAAAATCGTCATCTTCTCAGCAAGAATTGACATATTTAGCAATATCACCATCAATACTAAAAGCAGACTTAGAACTGGACACTGCAGGAGGAGCGCGATAGCGCTCCCAGCACTTTTGGCGAAAGACAGGAGGAGCCCGATCGCGCTCCCCGGCACTCTAGGGGTTAAGTTAATTCTAGAAGAGACTGACAAAATATCCTAGGACAGTGGTTGGCAAACTGCGGCCCCCTTGAGTGTGGCTCTTCCACAAAGTATCACCTGCAGGAGCGCACATACAGTGTGATTAAAACTTCGTGGCCACATTGAAGGGGCCAAAGAGCCCCATGTGGTTCACGAGCCGCGGTTTGCCGACCACAGTCCTAGGAGATTTAGGCCAATTTTTATTTTTCTAGAGAAAGAATAAGCCTTGATCTTCGCAGTATTTGGGAACTATAAAAGGATTATAAAGAGTCAAGGCATACCCGGCTATTATAGTAGAGGAACAACAATGGAGACAAGTTAAAACCTTGAAGTATATTCTGAAGGTAAAACTAGCAGAACATTCTGATGGATTAGTATGCAAGGAATGAAGAAAACAGGGAAAAAGAGACAATTTCTAGGTTTTTCAGCTTGAGCAACTGGAGGGATAATGAAACCACTTCCCAAGATGGAAAAACCTGGGAAAAGAACAGATTTGATGGAGGCTGAGGGAATAAAAAGCTTCCACACATTTTAAGTATGGCTTCCCTTTTAGAGCAAAGCGGAGATGTCAAACAGGTAGTTGAATACACAAATGAAATCAGGGGAGAAGTTAGACTGGAAATAAAGTAATGCATGAGAGGATGCGGAAAGAGAAAAGACTAGAAACAAATCCCGAGGGCCCACCAACATTCAGAGTTCAGACAGCGAACAAAGGGTCAGCAAAGGAGAAAGGTGGGAGAATAGTAGTGAGAAGCAGGATATGAACAGAGAAATGTCCACCAGAACTAGTACCTGCAGTTATTGAAAGTTACTGATGGCCTTGACAAGAGCAATTTCATTGGAAGAGTGGTAATAGAAACTAAATTTGAGAGGGTTAAAGAGTGAATGGGAGGTGAGAAACCAAAGGAGGGCAATTCTTTTCAGAGGTTCCAATGAGTCAAGGAACAAAGAGGAGATCTACAACTCGTGGGGGATATAAACACACACACACACACACACACACACACACACACACACACACACACACACACACACACACACACACACACACACACACACACACACACACACACACACACACACACACACACGAAGAAAAGTCTTCTGGACATTCAGGACAAACAAGGCAATCAGTGGAGACCAATTATAAAAGAACAGCACCACCTGGTTTATAGGAATGCCACTTATGTCATGCAGAGAATTTGGTACTTACTTTCCTCTGACATGGTAAGGTTTGAAGCAAGGCTTGAAGTTTCAGGTTTCTGATCACTGACTTCGGGGTTGCTTACTTGACTGGGAGAACCAAAATGAATATATTAGCCCCTGACTAACATATTCCATTGCTAAAAGTTATTAAATCAAACCCATTTCTTCTAAGGCTATACAAGAAAGAGGCAAAGTAAGTCATCTTCATGATATCCTTATTCTAGGTTTTTAGCAGCTACCTGAAGAGCAATGGCCAGGGTTAGTACCCACAGCATTCTACAGTTCTTTCTCATATCTGTAGACCCCTTCAGTTTTTATATCACTCAAAAATTCCAGCTAAGTCACAAGCAAGTCAGATTTTCTCTGAAGACAATGTGGTAAAAGAAAAACTCCACAACACCTAAAAATGCTTTAAGACAATGGTTCTCATAATAACTTGAGACGTTTTTTCAAGTTATACATGCTTGCTTCCAAGAAGGTGTTCGGAACCTTAAAGTGGCTCATTCCATGGTATTCCTCTTCTCCCCCAATTAAAAAAAAGAGACAATTTTTAATTTGTTATTATATCCAAGACTGAGCAACATCTTTTTCTTTTTCTTGTTTAACTTATAAAGAAAATTAAGAGAAATTACGAAAGGTAAATCGTATAAACTGGGAGGGCAAGTCATTATGTTAGACACTTTAGTGTTGGGAAGATTCTCACTGGAATTCTGAAATGGAAATTATACTAACTTTCATTACAATGTCCTTCCTCTTCCTTCTGAGTGGACTTTCCACTCTCCAATATTCCCTCAACTACCCGTACAGCATAATCCTTAGGAGTATGATTCTCAAGCCAGACTGCTTGAATTCATATTCCATTCTGCCAAAGCTAGCTTTATGACTTTAGGCAAGTCACTGAACTTCTTTAGTGCCCTGGTTCTTCAACTATCAATGAATAGTAGTAATAGAACCTACCTCATAGAGTTGTTATAGAGATTAATGAGTTAACATACAAAAGTACTTAGAGCCCTAACCGATTTGGCTCAGTGGATAGAGTGTCGGCCTGCAGACTGAAGGGTCCCAGGTTCGATTCCGGTCAAGGGTATGTACCTTGGTTGCAGACACATCCCCAGTAGGGGGTGTGCAGGAGGCAGCTGATCGATGTTTCTCTCTCATCGATGTTTCTAACTCTCTATCTCTCTCCCTTCCTCTCTGTAAAAAATCAATAAAATATATATTTTTTTAAAGGTACGTAGTGCAGAGACTAGGACAGAGTAAATACAATCAATATAACTATAGCTAGTATTACTTATATTATAACTTCTCCCCAGTCCAGGCATCTTTCCCACATTCATGTTCCTAGAAAATCTGCTTTGCGGCTGGATTGGTCTGACAGCAACTGTGTAGGATGCGAAGGTCCCAGAGGTGTCGAGAGTTAGCCTCTCACCTCCTTGCTTATAATGTTATGTCATATACATTATATTCAAAAATTCTGGGACCAAAATCTCAGGGTAACTATGGTGGGCCTGGGGGCTCAGGCTGAGCAGGAGCCGTTCTTAGACGACCGCACACCCGGAAGCAGAGAATGGGATATTATAGAAACTGAGGTGCCTTATGAGAGCCGATGGAGGCCTATTAGGATTCTGTATCTTACTATGTTTCTCAGCAGTTTAAGATTTTCTATTGTGATGTCAATATGGTCCTATCTCCAAAAGAATGACCAGGCAGCTGATACAATTTTTTGGGCTGGGTTATTGCTTCATTTAGTCTTGGCCAAATGGTAGCTTCACCTATATTTGGTTTGTGATCTAATTATAGACCAAGAAATGAACCTCTCATTGTCTCCATCTTCATTTCAGTGGCAGCCAACTGCCTCTATGGATATATGCATGTCCCAGCTTCTCACAATAAATACTACTTGTTAGCTGCTCATGGACTAGTGGGATTTGGAGCAGGAAATGTGGCAGTTATTAGATCATATACTGCTGGTGCTACTTCCCTTCAGGAAAGAACAAGTTCCATGGCAAACACAAGTCTAAAGTCAAGCATTAGGTTTTATTCTAGTTCCAGTTTTTCAGGCCTGTTTTGCACTCATTGGAGAAAAGGGCATGACATGGGAGACTATACAGCTTCAGATAAACATGTATACAGCACCAGTTTTACTTGGCGCCTTCCTCAGAGTTTTGAATATTATTCTGACTCTTATTATATTAAGAGAGCATCATGTGGATAACTCAAGACGACAGTGTAAAAGTATTAATTTTGAAGAAGCAAGTACAGATGAAATTCAGGTTGCCCAGGGAAGTATTGATCAAGTGGCTGTTGTGACTACCAATGTCCTGTTTTTCGTGGTCTTATTTATCTTTGCCCTTTTTGAAACCATCCTTACTCTATTAACAATGGATATGTATCTCTGGACTAGAGAACAAGCTGTATTATATGATGGAATAATACTTGCTGCTCTTGGAATTGAGGCTGTTATTATTTTCATGGGGATTAAATCACTTGCCAAAAAGATTGGCGAGCGTGCTATTCTGCTGGGAGGACTCGTTATCATATGGGTTGGCTTCTTTATCTTGTTACCTTGGGGAAATCAATTTCCCAAGATACAGTGGGAAGATTTACATAATCATTCAATTTCTAATACCACATTTGGGGAAATTATTATTATTCTTTGGCGGTCTCCAAGAGAAGATCAGAGTGAGGTTCCCAGCTGCTGGAAGTGCAGCACGTATTCTTGGACCTGTGTTCATCAGCCAAGTGTATACTTCCTGGGCCCACGATGGGCATTCAGCCTTGTTGTGGAATAGCTGTGCTCACCATCATACTCCTGGGAGTGGTTTACAGGAGAGTCACTGCTTTTTCTGTAAGGCATGGAAGGATTCGAGTAACCTAGCTAACTAACACTGGGATGCACAGTACTTGCTGTGTGGACTTCCTTTACTAAGGCTCTGTTAGACATTTGCTATGAGTCAGTTTCCAAAAGTAAGGCTTCAGGTATTGTATATTGTGAAAAGCAAGAGAATATATTGAATAACATGGAATTCTATGAGTAACTGTGTATAGTCAGATAATATAAAAAACATTCTGGACCTTAATTTCTTTATCTCAAAAAAGAAATATTCCTCACTCAACACCTTTTGGGTGTTACATGAATTCATGAGTGAATGAGCAATAGCCTATAAATTGGAAACTATTTTTTTTTTCAAACTACAGAGGTATCACTTAAAACAACGAGAGACTATCTATGCAGTGAAATCACAGTAAAGTTCTGTAAGAATTACCTATAACAGAATGAAATTATAGGAATTGTTTACCTAAATCGTAGGTATCTTGACCAAATCAAAGATATCTACTTTTTATTTATTTAAAAGGCATTTTCTATTATTATCAAGTTCCCTTATGAAATAAATATCCTTACTCTTAAATTTTCCACTTACTATGCCTCCCATTCTACCATACCTTCTTTAATTTATTTGTAATACACCTTCTGTCTTATCTCACTAAAAAACCCTAAATTAATAGAGGAGTACAGATAATGCTAATATTTAAGCAATAAAGAGGATTAAAAGACCAAGATGGATTTTACTACCTTTAGTAGAGTTAACTACTTTTTATTTCAAGTGCTAGTAACTTACTTTAGAGACATAAACCAGGTATGTGTTATTGTATACATATACTGTTTATTATAATTACTGGCATTTTCAACTCCCTTAAATTCTGGAGGAAAACTATCACTTTATTTACTTTTCCCACCACTTATTAGTGGCAAGGTAGACACAGCAGTTTTCAGTCTCTGTCTGCATAGCTATTCAGATCTGCAGAATTTTACATTTGGAGGAGCCATGACAGCCCCAATCTAGTCAGGCTAATATTTGAGGCAAATGGCTTTAAACTAACACAGTTTACTGAGTTTACTTGAATATTCGGTCTCTATGTATACATTTCTACCTCTACGTAAGTTGAATGCTCATAAAAGGAACTAGTACAGAAATATGTATATGGATAATCAGTATTACCAAAAAAAGGTAAAGATATTTTGAAATACTTTTCCAAATGTTCTTTTTTAAATATATTTTATTGATTTTTTACAGAAAGGAAGGGAGAGAGATAGAGAGTCAGAAACATCGATGAGAGAGAAACATCGATCAGCTGCCTCCTGCACATCTCCTACTGGGGATGTGCCCGCAACCCAGGTACATGCCCTTGACCAGAATCGAACCTGGGACCTTTCAGTCCACAGGCCGACACTCTATCCACTGAGCCAAACTGGTTTTGGCCCAAATGTCTTCTACTCTAAGTTATAAATATTTTAAAAACTGAGAGTAAAGACTATAATCTGCACTTAAAAAAAAAAAAAAGAAATCTGCTTTGTTGTTCTACACTCTAGGAGAAATGGAGGACACTGTACCGGAGGATCCATATATCTGGAAAGAGGTACACTGACAGAATAGTTTCTACACAGGAAAAAAAGAAATTTTTTTTGGTTAATCCTCACCAGAGGATATTTTTCCATTCATTTTTTAGAGAGTGGAAGAGAGGGAAAGACAGAGAGAAACATCGATGTGAGAGAAACACATCGATTGGTTGCCTCCTGCACAAGCCCCGGACCAAGGCCTAGGCCAGGGAGGAGCCTGCAACCAAGGTACGTGCCCTTTACTGGAATCGAACCTGGACTCTTTGGTCCGTAGGCTGAAGCTCTATCTACTGAGCCAAACTGGCTAGGGCCAAATTTTTTTTTTTAAGAAATGCTACTTCTATTAAAAAATATACTGCACTGCCCTAACCGGTTTGGCTCTGTGGATAGAGTGTCGGCCTGTGGACTCAAGCGTCCCAGGTTCGATTCCAGTCAAGGGCATGTACCTTGGTTGCAGGCTCCTCCCTGGCCTGGGCCCTGGTTGGAACACGTCCAGGAGGTAACCAATCGTGCTTCTCTCACATAGATCGCATTAAGTCGCCGTAGGAACGGATCTCCCATATCCACTGAGCCAAACCGGTTTTGGCCACACCAAAATTCTTAAAGCTCTCATATATTTTCTGAACAAACCTCTCGTATCATATCTAATAATAGACAAACATGGTAATTGACCATACCTTCACTACACCTCCCATTGGCTAATCAGCGTGGCATGCAAATTAACCGCCAACAAAGATGGTAATTTGCATACTGCAGGCAGGACGGGACAGCGCAGCCACCAGCACGAACCGCCATTCCGGGCCGCAGGCCGGCCCCAGAAACCGCCCAGAAGCCGGTGATCGGGGGGAGATGGGGGTCCCCTGCCAAGGTCTGACACCTCTGGCGGAGGCATCAGTCCTGGGC